AAATAATACATTTGATAATGGGGTTACTCTCTCTTATATCAAAACCAGATGTTGCAATAGAACAATCTATTTGACTAAATCTTTATTTTTAGTGGAATATAATAACTTAATTATTAATGTAGTATTATTAATTTAGTGGCATTTTTTTAGGGTTAACTCTTAGTACCCTGTCTTATAGTAATAAGCATAGGCGTCCCAAGGGCTAAGTTTTTGAGGGGGAGAAAATTAAATTACGCAATCACAATAGTTTTCTAAATTTCTCACATAAGAAGAAAAAAAAAAATTTTTGAATGTACCAAATACCTGCAAAAAGATTAGTTTTTTTTAAACCTCTTTCTGATTTTTAACGTTAAGGAATTTACATCGATGATAAATTGTAAAAATTTTCTCTATTTGTCTGAAATATTGGGGGGACTCTTAGCGATTTTTTAATTGTTGAAGGGGACATAAAAATCACCGTCCCTTTACCAACGACGCCCATGGTAAGGAATAGTTTAAGACTATTTGAACTTTGAGATATTAAGAGCAAAACTTCTATCAAAACTCACAGACATTATGTATCCTTTAAAATAGAGTGAATAGGAACAACCGTAAACTTGAAATCAGCCTAAGTTTAACAATAGAACTGTGATTCTCTCTCTTATTTCTGCACAGTTTATTTCTGTAAGAAATATTTAAAGTTTTGTTTGAAAAAATGCACAATGTTTTGATAATCTTACAAAACCTAGCTACGAACATTTTGCTTCGTCAGACCAGCAGCGTCAGAAGCTGCATAGTTTAGTAAGAATAGTGTATCGTATTGTATTTTTTATTCATTTGAATAGCAAGCATAATAGTAATTGATATTTGAATGAACTACTTACTTTAAAACATCGATTGAAATATCATGTTCGTACGATTTCATAAAATTCTGTATCAATGTTTTAGAGCAATCTTGAAAGATGCTGAAAACCTAGAACAATAGCATTTAATAAATAGGCAGCTAGTGAAATAAAATATTAAAGTTGAATCATAGAAGCAGTTAAGCCGGAGATGTCAATGAAAATTATGTATTTAGGATATTTCTGAACTTCATGTACTACAAACTAATAGGGCACATCATTAACTGATTGTCCGGAAATGTCAATGAGTGCCGATGAGGGCGCCACCAGATTATGGACTGGCAGTTCATGTGCCTTTTAACCGGTACTTTTGTTAACCTAAATTATCTTGAATTCGTGTCTTTTAATAATTATTTTCGAAAATTACATTCAAATGGGCTCAAAATCAGATGTTCTATTGCAATTTAATTATTAATTTGGTGAGCTTGCCAAATCATGAAAATAATCTTAAATTTAGAAAATTTAATTAAATTCTCTATCAATTTTTTTTTCTATATGCCTATTATACATTTCACTTTAACTTACGCGCTTCAGTTTGCCAGAAGAAAATGTCGGTGATACTATTGAACGAATTCTCTTCCAGTCTTCTCCTTGTACAACTGTTAGCATTTTGGCCAGAACAGGATCTGCCGCACTAATTATCTATATTTAAAAGAAATACATGATACATATATATGTATATATAGCAGTTCAAAATGAAGATAAAACAAAGGAAAATTTTAGGCATATGAAAAAGGGGGGGGAATAATGATGCAAAAAAAAATAACAAACAACTGATTTAAAAAAAAAACTAAAAAAATAAAATAAAATAAAGATTATATTTTTTTTTAAGAAACTGGGAAATAAAAGATATAATCTTTTCATCAGCCCACACAATTATATCTGCAAGAAAGCGCTTTCTGGTATTGTATCAATATAGCTGAAGCAAAATATATTAATACAGTAGTGTGAGGAGCACTCAAAAACTTTTTTTACAAAAATTACGACAAATAAAATAGAAAACAATAAGTACAAATAACACGTCAAAACAGAAAAGAAAAGAAAAGAAAAAGAAAAAAACAGTATAAAACAAGAATTATAAAGCGAGTAGCGAAATCCGATGTACTTACATGAAGGGGAAATTTTTCAAGATTGATTTAAAAATATTTTCGTAACAAGATTGCCAGATTACAAAATATGAAAACAAAAGCGCAAATTGAGCACACAAATGTGCATATATGTGTAAGAGAGAGAGAGGGAGAGAGAAAGAGTGTATTTGCTATATATGCTTGCTCAAGACTGAGAAAATATTTCATTGAAAGAAAATTTTTATAATCGTATAACAATTATTTAAAGCCAACTTTTGAATTACTATATTTATTAATTCCCTGAAGTAATTGATTTGATGTTTTATTTATTTCTTCATATATTTGAGGAATGTTCGTGAAATATTCCATAGAACAATTAATCATATTTAAAGTGCATTGTAAAACAATTCGAACATAGCTGTTATCGTATAGTTCAGAAGTAGAAGAAAAAATTTTTCTAACTATATCTTAACAAAACTTATGAGAAACTTACTAGTAATCCCCAGTTTAAAACTAGCATTAAACTATATTTTAATGAAGAAAATGCTTTTATAATGATCCAGTCTGATATACGGAAAATTTGGTGATACTTTATAAAATAAAAGTAAAGGATAAAGTACTTTGGTTGTAGGGAAGTTTCTTGCAAGTCTTTGAGTCTTGAAGACATGAAGCTTTAATGCTAAGTCCTGTCACGGATGTCACATCGAAGGTTGTCCACTGTCCATTGCTTGAAAAGGTCGGTAATCACGAAAAGTGACAAGAGATTCTCTACAAGTAGTCTCCTTGGGATCTAGAACATCACATAATTAAAGAATTCGTCTCCAACACTTTCTTCTTGTTAGTCTTTAATAAGAGCCATAGGAAGAATCTGAATTGATAGAGTGGAGATTAGTTGTCGAATAAAAAATAAATTATTCCCAAAGCACAACATATCTGTTTATAGTTATTCCTATAACAAACTATTCCATATTTTCTTTTTTTAAGAAAGTCAAGTCGAATCGTTATTATCCTTGCTGATCTTTGTCGAATGCAATGTTGCTTCCCAAAGCCATGTGATTTTGTACTTAATACAGAAGATTTCGGGAAGGATGTTTGGATGGAACTGATTTAAATTTATGTTACCTGGAGATATTAAGTTACCTGGAAACTTTTACACATTATATCCGATAGCTCCTTCATATTTTCCTTCAGTGTTATGGTTGATATTAGTAGATAGCCCTATGTGAATTAACTAATCAATACAAAGATTCGAACCAGATCTGTCAGATTAGGAGGCGAGTGCTCTATCCACTGTGCTATAGTGACTCAATTGTTGGTACAGAGATTAACGTTAATTTAAATATAAATATCTAGCACAGTTTTATTAGCCTTTCTATTTGCGTGCCTTCATACCATGTTAAAATTTCTCGTATAGAATAGAGTGAATTTTTAAGAGAGTAAATATCAACAACATATTGTAATTAGCTTAAGGTTAATGATTTCATTTATTGTAAACACTTTTACTCAAAAAGAAAAGAAGACAAATTGCAATAACAATGTACAGTGCACCAAATATAAACGGACTAACCTGAATAACTTTTGATTTAATGATTGGATCAGGTTCTATGACTCATTCTTAATGGTTTGAAGAGTAGACCTCAAATATGCTAAAAAATAAGTGCAGATGATATTTTAGGTTACGGAATCAGACACAAAACGTACTTTCTCTGAATAAACATATCCTTTTTTCTGCGGATTTAGATTTCTCACCTTCAAAATCCGCAATCGTAGGCCACAATCTGAGATATATATAATCCCTAAAATTTGATCTGGAAAGCATTCCAAAGGTTGCATCACGTAATGTTAATTTTATTTTTGGGGCATTTCGCTATATCTCGAAAGTATTTTAGGCGAATTGAAGATTTTTTGTGCACAACTATAAAATTCATTTATCCAAAGAAAATTCCATGCAAAAAAATTTATAAATATTTATTATTTTTATTATTTTGACGAAAAAGTTTAATGTGTTAGGTACAAAATTTTTTTTGCACGATTTTTTAAAAAAATATTTGATTTTTTATCGCAAAATAAGAAATTTGAGCAAAATTAGTCGAATAGTTCCTGAGAAATCGAATTTTAAGTATCTGAATTTTTTGATTTACTTTTTGCCTTTTTCGCCATATCTCGCCAGTTATAAAATATAGTTCCAAAATACATTTATAAATTCTTTGTAAAACGCAGTTATACAAATTTCATCGACGTATAACTCAGCTGACTGGGAAACTATAAACAATATTTTTTTCCGCATATTTTGCAAAAAAATATTAACACGAGATGTTGATTTCGTCTTTTGATTACCACTGGTTATTTCTGCAAATAGTAATCAATCGAAAAGAATAAAAAAGTCTAAAAGCTTTCAGTTAGTAACGTCCTCTATTGCTGGACTTTTTAACCATTTTTTTTAAAAAATTGGTATAAAGAATTTTTCTTATATCCTTAATTGGACGCAGGGAAACGTACATTTCCGTTTTTCTGCATTTTCCTTTCAGTTTTTCTACAAATCGTCAGTAATTTTTTAATATCGATTATTTATTATGAAATAAATTATTATTAAATAAATACGCATCTGTCTTTTCTTATTAAGGATGAGAAAAAGCATTAAATGAATTTATGTTCTTTTTTTTTCGTATGTGTGATATTTAAATATTGGCAATCATCATTTCGTATTGATTTTGTGCCTTAAATAGATAAATACTAAATTTTAATTCTGTTTACTTATTTTTTTTTAAATTTTTATACTTTAACTAATGATGGGGTAGCACAAAACACACTCATTCTATTCCTTCTCTTTTTATATTAGTAAAACATCTAAATTATGGTCTGCAAAATATTGATGAAATTCAATCGATAATAGAACTGTTCAGCATTACCCCTCAAAAAAGTAAACAAGCTATTTCACTAAATGTATTTACTTTCCCGTTTCGTAAAAAGCGTACTGCGTTAAAACGGCTTTACTATGAGAGGTATAAATAGAAGCATGATAAATATTCTAGGCTTTTGCTTCAAAAAACTTTATTGAAAATCCATCTTGTCATGTGACATTTTCGCTCTTGTTCTAGTTTTTGATAAATCGCACGAAGAATAAAAAGAGACAATTTCTTATAGATTTTTTTTGTTGTTATTCAGTGTATTTTATGTTGCCTTTTTTTATAGTTAATGAGAAAAGACAAATAGCACTATTTTAATGTTGGATGCATCCGAATCTTGTGCATAATAGAAATACGAATGGGTATAATATTAAAGTAATTATATTGTATGAGTTTGAGAAAAAGAATTTAAATGTTGTGAATGTTAGATACATGAGTTTAAAATTTTTTGTTGTTATGGATATAAAAGAGATGGAATATGCAAAAGTTAGCAAAAGAGGAGGAAGAGATAAAAATAATTGGAACATAAAGTTATTTAAGTATTAATAATATTCGCTAAAAGTTGTTCTAAATGCCGTTTGCTGTTAAATAATGTGTTAGGATGGTGATATACTAACTCATTTTAAAGTGGTGATCTATTACTGCCTGGGTGCTAATTTGTCAGGGTTACAATTTTAAGGCGAGTTACCAGTTCAATATTCAGATTAAATAGTTTAAATTTTTTTGTTGCTATGGATATAAAAGAGATGGAATATGTAAAAGCCAGCAAAAGCGGAAGACCATACAAAAATAATTGGAGCATAAAGTTAATTAAGTATTATGAATGGAATCAGCATCTATATATAAGTAGAGAATATTATATTTTTCTTCCTACAAAACGTATTTTAAACATTTTATTGAGCAATGATTGACCTATTATAAATACTAATTTTATAATAACTACCATCTTCCAATTGGCTGGCTAGATAAAGAGGTAAGTAGTGATTCTGCTTACTTGTAATTTGGTGTGTAAGTTGTAGGCTAATTAGGAAATTTAGTTCTTGTCAAACTGTCTCACTGCAATGAATCTACATGGCTCCCTGCAATAAGCCTAACAAATGGCGTCGTCAGCCTACAAAGAGCCAGACTTTTCAATTAGTCTACGAAACACTGAGGAAGACAGCTGTACTTATGGGTAAAAAAAAATCGAATAATATTTACTAAAAGAAGCTCTAAATGCCGTTTATTGTTAAATAATGCTTTAGGATGGTGATTTACTAACTCATTTTAAGCGGTGATGTATTATTGCCTGGGTGCTAATTGGCCAAGGTTCGAATTTTTAGGCGAATTATCGGTTTAATATTCAGATAATCTGCCATCTTATATCCTTTAGAATGTCTCAAAGGCCATGATTTCAGAGATCCCAATAGGCTCAATTGAGGACCTCAATCGCTGTTTAACTATTAAATGTAGTTGAAAGCGTGCGTGAAATTGCTAATATCTGAGAGTTGCCGTTAGAGAATGACTCAGATAAAGCAACTAAGTAGCTAATAGGTCGCCATTTTAGGCGCTTAGTAAAAATATTGTACTTTGAATATTAAGTTGAAAGCAAATATAAATTTTCCCCCCCTCGTTATCACATTTGTTCAACTATTACCGCGCATGTTTCCTACGCTGTAAGAAATTTCGGTG